TTGAAGTCCACTCATCTTAAAGTGGGCCAAGTTTGGACAACACTGACTTAGAGGAACCAGCAGTGATCAAAACTTTAGGAAAGTGCATATACCTGAACATTTGCCAAGAGGTGACTCCAGAACACGCAGATGGAAAGGCTGAGTCTGCCTCCAGTTCCTACTTGAATAAAAACCCGTTAGAGAAAGTGCAATAAATATGTACAGGGGATTCTGCAAGTAGTCAGAAACATTTTTACTGATGTTTCCCTTGTCTAAAGCTATCCAGGATGCAGTGTTAAAATGGAGTAGACCTTAGAAAAACAATTTATTTAATATCCAGAAAGGGTCAGTTTAAAATCTCTGCTCAGGTTTCACAACTGAATATGGAAGATTTATCATAGAATCATAGAGTTGGAAGGGATCTAAGAAGTTATCAAGCCCAAGCCCAACCCCCTGCACACTGCAGGATTCATTACACTATCTCCAATAGATGACTACTCAGCCTCTGTTTGAAAACCTCCAGTGAAGGGGAAGAAACCACTCCAGGCAATAACCTATTCCACTGATTGACAGCTTTTACTGTCAAGAAGTTCTTCCTAGTGTGTACCTGCATCCTTGAAGTTTCATCCCCTTAGTTCTAGTCTTACCCTTTGGAGCAAGAGAGAATAAGTCTGAACCTTCTACAATTTGACAGACCTTCAGATATTTGGAAACAGCTATCATGTCCCTTCTCAACTTTCTCTTCTGTAAGCTAAACATACCTAGTTTCCTGTGGGACTTGGTTTCCAGTCCTTTCACCATCTTGGTAGCCCTTCTCTGAACTTTCTCCAGTTTAATCAATGTCCTTTTTAAACTGGGATGTGCAGAACTGAACACAGTATTCCAAGTGAGGGGCATTATTACAACATTAATCCTCCTCTAGTCTTCTGGGACCTTGCCTGTTCTCCAGGACTTCTCAGAGATGCTGTCCTAAGTGGTAAATCAGTGACACTTCATTGGTAACTATTACAATATTTCAAGGAGCTTTGTAACCAATCATCCCATCAGATTGAGATACAATACTGTTATGAGCCCTATTGAGTCAGCAGATATAGAACCAGGACTGGAAACAAACTTTTCTGTAAATATTTAATTAAACTTTTATTTTTATATGTTTCCAAGTATTTCATTGTTTACTTCTGCTTGCGTTACTGAAAATGTCATATTTTCATTTTACACTGAAGGAATGGAACTATTTTCTTCATAGAGATGTTCAGGGTTTTTTTTTTTTTTTCCTGCTGAAGACAAGTTCACATTTTGTATTTCCTCTCCCCAGCTAAGACCCTGCATTCAACTGAAATCAATCAACATGCAAGTCAAACCTGTGAAATTGCTTTGACATGTATATATTCCCAGGAGAAGCTATTTATAAATCTTGCAGATGGGGAAAATAATTGGACACTTCTCTGTTTTCATGTTTCCATATCGTTTGAGCTTTAATTAAATATTCAAGGTCACTTAGGGATTCACTGTACATTTTGTTTTCTTCCATCTGTAATCTCTGAAGCTTTTTGACAATCATAGTGGATTGGGAAGGATAGTCTTGTGTGTCAACCTTCCCTTACTTGGCATCTTCCAGATATTTTGAAATTGCAATTCAGCTGATTGGGTACTTGTGTGAGTTGAAATTCTAATACAGCTGGAGGGCACCAGGATGGAGAAAGTACCTCTCCTTGGGGCAGGAAATCCAAGTGTCAGGGTACCTCCCAATAGTTTGAAGAGCTCCAGCAAGAGAGGGCAATAATCATCAGATAATTGTTTCTGTTATCCAACTACTTCTTACCCTGTGACAGTTTTTCTACCATTTAGCTGAAACCTGCTTTTTCTTAGCACCCCCTTAAATCTGATTTTGTCTTTGGGAGCAGAAAATAAGTCTTTGACTCATCTATGAGGTAGCTGTTCAACTGTTTGAAGAGAACTACATTGATCTCCAAGTTAAATATAACAGGACCTTCTATGTTTCTTTATAGGATTTGGTTTTTGGACTATTAACTATTTTCACTTTTATATCGAGCAACTCCAGTCCTGAGAACCTTTTCATGCATAGTACTGCCAAGCCAAGTATCCCCATCCTATGCCTGTATCATTCATTCAATCATCCATAAAACCTGAACTTTGGATTTCATTTAATTTTGTCGATTGCTCCAGTTTCTCATTCTTTCAATGCCATTTTGATTTTTGTTCTTGGCATTTTATGTGTTTGTTATACTTTCCAGTTTTCTTTCATTCATAAATTTAATATGTATCCCTTCACCTCTTCATTCAAGTAATATCTTGAGGAATGCTGAGATCAGGATAGCATCTTGGAGCATTTCATTCGAATTCTTTCTCCAGCCTGATAAAGAACCACAGATGAGCATTTTGTGGATATGGCTTTCACCAGCTGCGAATTGATGAGATTATCTAGCCCACATTTTACCCACAATCTTTTTGAAAGAAAAATAACAAAAGAGAGACAAAGGGATATGACTAGTCTGTTAGGAGTGATTTTTTTTTTTTTTACAAATCTCAGCTGGTGTCTCTATTTCCTTATTTAAAACATTTTAACATTAATTTCACCCCACAAAATCTCCTAGAGCATTTTCAAAGATTTTAAAGCATGGTCATGATTCAGGACCCTTGCTTATTCCAGTTCTAGGCATGTGCAGAATTGCCCTTGCATTGTCCTCTTCAGATCTTCTCCTGAGCGTGGGGAGGCTGGAGAAGGAGGAGCAAGGCTATATCTCTGAATTGCTTTTTCCCCAGTTTGACGTCCGTGTCCATTCAGAAGAGTAGCCTGTTTCTCAGAATTCCCTTTGCTGATGGAATGGTTGATGTCAAAATGATGGCTGATGGAAGGAAGAGGCAGATAGAGGAGGCTTCTTAGTAAAGTCAATAGAATATTCACTGCTTTCTTTTTCTTCCTCTAAAGAAGTTGTGATAAGGCCAATTTCTGAATTTTAGAATATTAAATTATTATTAAAATGTTAACATATTCATACTTTTTATGAACCACTTTAGAGACTGAAGTATGACTGTGTGCTTTGGCAATGGGATTATTTTTCTATTGGTTCCTTTTCTTGATTTATAAACCCAGATATATTCATGTTTGGCACACACTGAGATGAAGTTCTATTTGTCCTATAATATTCTTGCTTAAAGGTTCAGTGTTCGTCACTCATAGAATTACTGGATGTTTCTTCTGCCTGCTATATTTTCTTTATTGTAGTGTTTGTCAGCCTATTTTATTCCTTGCCACTAAATGAGATTTCTACTGCTTGTCTGCCTTTAACCTTATCTTAAGATATATACTTTGCTTGTCTAGGACACAATCATTCTATCTGTAAAATGTGCTGTTGGATGCACAGTTTGCTTGGGGAGAAAGCATAATAGCCTACATTATGTTTTTGTAACTTTCCTTCTCATATCCATACTATTCGTGTGCGCACAGCATCATGTAAAATCTGTATTAAATTGATTGAAGATTCAGAAATGATAGGAAAACTGAAAAGTTTCTCTGACCCAGCCTTTTGCTATTCCTACCTATATACAGTACTTCCAATTGTGCTATATATGTGTTACATATTAATGTCTTTCATATATTGGATTACATTTCTAGGACTGTAAATTGGACAGGAAGCCAGAAAAGTAAAACATGTGGGATATGTGAAGATCCACACAACCTCATAATCTATATGCTGCCAGTCCCACTAGGATCATAGACAAAGTTCTATTGTCATCATCACACGCTGGGCATGAAACATGCCACTATGGTGGGCATAAATCCTAATTCAAAATTATGGCAAGAATTAGGCTCCATTTCAAATGTCAAGATCTCATCACAACTCCTACTTGAATTGTACAGCACAGTTATTCTTATGGGCTTCAAGCATCATTTTTCCTTCCTACTCATCCCTGTGGTTCTTCCTCGGCTGCTTTATCACAGTATTCCTTTGTGCCCTCTGGTGCCCAAGTGATTGCTTGTCTCAAAAACATTGTAATGGCTATAAAATCAAATTATATTTGCTGTATAAACTAGGGATAATCTGTATATAATGTGTGTGCTTGCTTTCAAAGCTTTCCTAACTTCTGTGTCTAATTAGTTCACTCCATAGTGGCCTTGACTGAATGCATCACTCAAAGCAAAATTAAAAGAAGTATATCGCCTAAAGTTCCGTATCAATTGAAAATATTGTAAACTTCTCTAAAATTGGCAAGATGTGTGAAAATGCAATCATGTAAGCTTTTCTTTTTGGACAAATAATTTCTGCTATATCTTTAAGGGATTTTCCTCTCATAGTAAACTTGAAAGAGGTAAATTCTTTGCTGTATGATATGCTGGCATGTGCTCTTTCACACAGATATTAATGAATGTGTATCAGACACTCATACTTGCAAGAGAGGAGAACATTGTATTAATACAATTGGATCATTTACATGTCTTCAACAACTCATCTGCCAATCAGGATATGAACTTAAGGACGGTGAATGTGTTGGTAAGACCAGAGCTTTTTTTGATTTATTTTTGCAGGAATAGCACTTTACTTTTTCAAGCAGTTTATAAACTCATTTGTCAAAATCTTGAGCTGAAGTACATATTGGTGATTTCGAAGCAACAGATTTAATAGTCTATTAATAGTAAACTTATAATAAAAGTTATTATTTTCATACAATGAAAGGGATTATTTTGTGTAACCAGAAAGAAACCCTGTAAAAAGGAATGAATAGTTAAATAAAACAGTTTACAGGTATCCTATGATCCCAGAACAGGCATTCCAGAATTTATGGTGGAGAGATATTTCCCCAAAATCTTGTTGTAGCAGTAAAAAATTCATCGTTGAGGCTTTGATAATAGTACAGGGGAAAAGCAGTCAATCAATTTTAGCTTGTAATTTTGTTTGAGACTTTCCAGACAAAGTGGAAAATGCCTTTATTCACCTGACTGAGTACAGGCCTACCAATTTTTGGAAGTGATACCTGCTCTTTTACAAATTCTCCCTCCTGTACCACCATAGGATTGCTTTGTAATTATCAAACCTTATATAGCACAGTACATATTATAAACTCTTAAATATTAATTCAGAATACTCAAAACAATTGTGATATTATTCTCATATTGCAAATGGAGAAGGAAGGATCATAATACCTACTTGCTGTGATGCATTCAAAGGTCTTTGTGTGGAAGAAGACCCAACTGGTGAAAATGATTTACTTCACTGACAAATTCAAGCTTTCTCAGGAAGCAAGATTTGCTTCCCCTCTTAAATTAATGCAGTGGCCTGAATTAAAGCACAGCTAGATATTTTAGAATCTAGATTTAATGGGTATTACCTCAATTGTGAAGCATGCAATTAACATTGTATGTATAGATTAACAGACAGCCCACCCTGGAGGAAAGGCCTGTGGGGCCAGTAACCTTTTCACTACTCCCTTTCATGTTTTGATTAAGCATTTTGAAGAAAAAGTGAGAAGAAATACTCAAGCAATTTCTTGCATCTTCAGATGCTTGCAAATGTGATTTCTATTTTTTTGAACACATTAAATCATTCCAAACAGTGGGTACTGATTTTCTTTAGGGATGTTGGGGAAGAGAAGGGCTGACTGTATATTACTGTTATAAACATACATGTGTTTAAAATCATCCAGCAGCCACATTTGATATCCCAGTTGATTTTATGTCTAGTGTACTCAGAATGACAAAACAGATTTTTGTGTGGTTCTCCAGTTAATGCCTGGACTCTGGGTCTATAATTCAAACTTCATTGTAATAAGCAATCTCTAATTATTTGCTATCACATCCATGCTTTTGCCTATGGTGAGATATTAAGCCATATTGAGCTATGATAATGTGCCATCAAGTCAGCATCACCTCTTAGCAACCATAGATGGATTTTTTCCATGTTGATCTGTTCCTAACCTGGTCCTTCAGGTCTTCCAATAGTGCACCTGTGGCTACTGTAACTTGAGTCCATCACCTTGCTGCTGGTCATCCTCTTCTTTTCTTCCACCTTTCCCAAAATTAGAGCCTTCTCTAGAGAGCTAGGTCTTCGCATAATGTGTCCAAAGTAGGATAATTTGAGCTTAGATATTAAGCATTAATGTTCCTCCTCTATTTTTTTTAGCAAGGAGATCTAACAATTTGAGTAACAACCAAAAGAATCCAAATATAAGTAATAGCTACAGCAAAAAGTATATGTCTTTGGAAATCTGGATCCATTTATTTGACTGTAAATGTGAATGGATGGCTTTCTATTTAGCTTGTTTTCCTTAAATAGATTGCATATAATTTTCCAGGGCTTTTACACATCAGGATTGCAGGCATTAATACTTTCCAAATGCAGCCAGGTTAGAAAATGAATGATTACTGTCTTAAAGTAGCTTACATTTAGTATTAGATATTAATAGCATCTTGCATTGTATCACCACTGTCTATAAGCTTACACAAGTACATGAACAAACCCAAGAACTGAAAGATGCCAGAAGAGAATTAGAAATTTTGTAGCTAAATTGTTTCATTTTTTAAAAAAGATATTGATGAATGTGAAAGAGGAACTCACAGCTGCAAGATAAACTTTGCATGTCAAAATACAGAAGGATCATTCTATTGTGAATCAAAGCAACGATGCATGGAAGGATTTTTACAAGATCCAGAGGGAAACTGTGTTGGTGAGTTCTATCTCTGTTCCTCAATTAATGAGTTCCAGATGCTATTCTATCACCTGCAGTAGCTTTGATTACATTTTGTGGTCTTTAAAGTTATACTGTTTCCCCTTCTGAAATTCATTTCCTTTTAAAACACCATAAAATAAGAAGTAAATATTAGATTTTTGAAATATTGCATTTTTAACTATTGGCTAAATAAATTCCTATCAGTCTGGAATTTATTGCACAATAAATCAAGACCAAATGAACAGGAAAGGAAGAACAGCTGGAAGATGGGTTGCTGATTAAGTAAAAGGCTGATAGCAATATATTAATATTTATTCCACAGACATTAATGAATGTACATCCCTTCCTGAACCATGTAAGGCTGGATTCAATTGCATCAATACTGTTGGGTCTTATACTTGTCAGAAGAACCTCTTAATATGCAGCAGAGGATATCATTCAAGTGAAGATGGAACCAGATGTGTTGGTAAGAGTCAGATTAAAGAACCTGGCTGAAAATATGGTTAGATTTACTGTCTCTATCTAATCTAATCTGGATTTCAGATAGTTTTGATATATATATTTCTTTAAGCATGCATGTTGTGAATTCCAGTAAACACACAAAGGGATCTGTTGCAAACCTTTGTGCCCCTGGTAGAGATACCTAAAAGGTTATTTGGCTTACAATGACTACCTTAGTCGCCGTTCAAAAGAAATCGATTTATATACATTACCTACCTGTTAAAGTTTAAGATAGATTTCAACAGGTAAGGAACACAAGTCTGGCAAATTCTTGGCAGTGAATAATGTTACTGATTGTGGTTGCTTTTCACTAGGCAGCGTTATTCATCAGGAAGTGTTGACATTTATACCAGTGTTTGCCAAAATAGTTACTCTTGTCCTTGTTAATGCCAACAAGGAAATACAATCTGAATAGCTATTCTTATGAATTAATATAAGGCACATATATGCATCAATAGTATAGATGTTTTAGTGATCCATGCTTCTTCTCCTCACTGTGGTTTCTAAAAACGGAAGCAAATGTAACTCAGGCATACATAGCATCATGGGAAATGTCCTTTTACAGATCAGTAAGTATTATTAGAGAATACAGAGAATGGGAATAAAAGAACAGTCCTTTAAAATGGGTGGATAGAAATAGTAAGGCTACCCAGGGATTTGGATTAGGAGCAGTGGTATTTTACTTGTTTACTCTTGGCTCCAAATCATATATGAACAATGAGAGATAAGCTTTGTAAGTAACATAAAATGAATATGAAGTGTTCCAAAAGGATCTTTCCAAATAGTGATGGGAGACATTAAAATTGCAAACAAGATTTGGTGCAATCTATTGTACAGTGAAGCACACTGGGACAAAAAGCTATGTGGGTGGGTGGGTACATCCCAAATATTAAATCTTTTCTCATTACTTTGATTCCTTAGATCATTTTGATTTCTGTTTTCTGCAGTTCTCTAGTTCTACAGTATCCTTTTGGAGATACCATCAGTGACAGAACTTTACATATTCTTCCAAATATGGACACACCACACACTTAAATAAAATCATTAATAATGTCTGAATGACCCCCAGTTTAGGATTTGTTTTTTTCATCATATCCATTTAATGGGTTAGTGTCAACTACAATCTCAGAACTCCTTTCCCCAGCTCAGACACATATCCACATTTGGAATAGTCTGTATTGTTCTGGTCACTGCTACACACACACACACCCCACCCTTAGGTAAAACTAGAGCAACTGCAGAAAATGAAAATGATCAAGAAGCTGGAGAAACCGACTGTTGAGGAAAAGTTTTAATGTTAGGCATTTTAAGCCTAGAAGGATGGAAATAAAAAGAGGGCACTGGAGGGGGCATAAAATTATGCATGACAGAGAAAAAATAGATAAGGAGAAATGTTTATCCTTCCTTATATCTCTAAAAAGCAGGCTCTTCCAATGGTTGGATGAAGATAATAGAGAAAGGAAAGTACTACTTCACTCTGTGAATTTACTACAAAGCTTTAGAATAAGATTAGACATAGAGAATAAAGCTATAAATGTCTATTATTTAGAATGATTATGTATTACTTCCAGTACTAGAAGTACTAATGTGTTTTAGCGGTAGTCACCTTTTAACAGGATTTTTGGTAGAAAATAAGTCTGTCTATTTAAGCTATAAATACTTGCATGGAAGAGATGAGCAATTTTCTTTTTTGAAAGTTGCTAGTGCTTCAAACTCAAATGCAATCTCAGTAAATTGAGCAAAGAAACAAAAGCTATTTGGTGCACTCTTAAATCCATTAATGCACATTGATTAGGCAGTAGTGATGGTGTGATGCAAGAAGAAAAAATATAGGGCGGAACTTGAATGTAATAAATCATATAGGTTTTCCTCAGTGGCTGAAGTGGGATTTTAAACAGCAGCTACTGGTGAGCAAGAACAACGTGTCTACCTCTTGACTTTGGGGGAAACTAAGAACAGCTTGCCCCACTATCATTAACCAGCCATGGACCTGAACAGTGCTTTGAAAGATATCTCTGCTATAGTAGTTACACTCTGGATACTGTTGTTGGTGTGGAATTCTTCATCTTGCTCATTGCCCTGTCAGCTACTACCTAACTTGTAGTATCAGTAAGGCTTTAGAAACTTTTGGAATTATAGAAATCAAAACTGAGTTGTATCTAGGAACTTCATAGTTCATTGTAATATTAGTAAGTAATGGAAAAAATGTGCCTCTGGCCTTGTAAGTGTGCATTTATGCTTAGACTTTAAACACTCTAATGTGTGTGTGTGTGTGTGTTAATGAGGTGAAAGTATAAACAACCAAATAAAAAGTCATTGTGGTTGTAATTTCCTCTTTTATTTTGCAAGAAATAACACAATGGATAATTAGATTTTAGATTGGAAAAACTTATGGTACTAGAAATAGATCATTGGGACAAGTTTTACGGAAGAATGGAGTCAATGTGGTTGCTTCTTATTGTTTAGAGAATTCTCAACAAATTCCTTCTTTTTAATGCAATAGTCTGGTTAGCAGCAGTTTGTTCCAACATTTAGCTGGAAAACACTGTAGTTATCATGAAATGTGATGCTCTTTTGACAGAATAATGTACTGAAACTAATTAAAAGCAGAATTCACTGGAATGCAGAGTTTCAAAGAAACTAATCAAAGAGTTGAACAAATGAATTAAAGGCAACTGATGTCGCTAATTGGCAGATTTAAATCTGTATTAAAATTAACATTTTAATGCTTGCTGTAAAGCAGAGATGCAAAGAGATGGTGCTTTAATTTTTTTTTTTTTTTAAAAAATCAATTATTGATTCCTACATCGTTAGGCTTGTTTAAAACAAGAGTGAATAAAAATAGATTAAAAGGGAAACTTTCTAACCAAACTCAAGTTTCATAAGCTCTTTCCCAGCTCAATTTATCTCATAGGGTTGCTATTGTGGTAAAAAATAGGAGAAGGTAGTGCTATATATCTCACCTTTAGCTCCTGAAGGAAAGGCAAGATATAAATCAAATATATAGTAAATTAGTTTTAAAAATGTAAAGCATTGTTCCTTATGGGCACGTATGAATAGATGAAAAGTATTATTAGTCCTCAGAGTGTATGATAATTGCTTGATTGGTATAGAAAGAGATAAAAGAAAGATCTCAATTTGTAATGAAATCTAGCCCTGTCTTTATTATTGTGCTTAATGAATTTATTACCGATTATCTGAAAATGCTGGTTTAATAATTCAGGACATTCCAAACAACACAGGAGAATTGCAGTATGATTTTTTATTATTTTTTTAAGGGAAGCTACTGTTTGTTTGGACCCAAAACAGAATGCTCTCCAAGGCTTTGCAAAGCTGCATTTCTATTTTATTTTAAATCACAGTATTTGTCTGTAAGAATCACAGAACTGCAGGAGGCCAGCTTTGGCAAAGGGAATTGTAATCGCTAATCAGTTTACCTGCAGCATCTGGGAAAAATTAACAGCACCTCTACTCCAGTTGCATGCTCAGGTTGCAAACATCTTCATTCAACACAGTTGCTGAAAATGGTGATATTAAGAGTGGCCATCAACCTGGCCCACTGTGGTTAGAGTAATTGCTACTTTTTGCTTCTATAGATGTTGATGAATGTCAGTCTGGCACACACCACTGTGGAGAAGGACAGATTTGTCACAATCTACCTGGAGCGTACCGCTGTGATTGTAAGATGGGATATCAGTATGATTCATTCAGCAGAACTTGCATTGGTATGTATAACACAGGAGAAAATGGTATTGCTGATTGATGAAATATGGATCTTTGGTCAGCTTTTATGTGCCATTGATCCCAGCGTTAAGTGTTAATTCCACTGTGCTAAAGCTCAAATAAGATAGCTTATTTGCTTCTGAAATGCCCTTCATTCACACTGGCTAATTTGCCTGTTCATAAGAATATGCTCCAATTTTATTTCAAGTGTGGGCAATTGATTAGGATGAACCTAAGCCAGTACTTATTGATGAGCGAAATCCTCTCCAGTTGTGATTTATCTTCACGCTTTACTAAGCACCTTCACACTTGCCAAGAAAATAGGCCCTGAATAATATGGATGCTAGGGAATAATCTGCCAACTATTCAATTTCTGAGTGGATGCTATAACCCAGTCAGTGCAGGTATGTGTTGTAGTCTCTCCTTATGACAAGTGCCATGCCACTTAATTTAACTAGGTAAAAATGAATGGCAGGTAGTTGTGAAAAATTGTGCATGCTTAAGGGGAAAAAAATCAACCAGAGGCTCAAGTTGTGATTATGATGATGCTCAGGGAAAAAAAAGTAAAAATATACTGTATAATATTGTAAGCTTGGAGGGTTGCCTAGGATTAGCTAGAATGGCATGAATATCTCTTCCCTTCCTCAGCTTTCTTCCACAAGGCAGGATAGAGGTCAAAATGGCTTTTGAAAAAGATGCACATGGAGATATGATTGAAGAATCTGATATTTGCAAATTCCTATATATGGTGGATGTTATAGATTGTTCCTTGCTACAAGAACTTCTGGATGTTATAAATAAATGAATAAAACTGGCAATCTCAGACACCACCAGCCAGTTTGTGCTCCTTTGAGATTCCAACTTCAGAAAATTAGAAAAAGGGAGCTGGGGAGGGGAGAACACTCCTACTTTACAGAATTGCTTGTATACCTCCAGGCCACTGCAGTAATTCTCTCCCCTCCTGGGCTGTTTCTGCTCCACATTGGATATGCTCTGGATTCTAAATGATTTCAGCTGAAGCAGAATATTCAAGAGAACTGATTTACTCACATTCATCCTGATTGGGAAAGTGTACGTGAATGGAATCTTGAGAATTCTGATTTAGAGCAGACAGATTCCAAGGTTATGAGGCTTAGAGATTGGAAGAAGAAGAAAACTCAGGGAGGGGAGAAAGTCCTGCAGCTTCAGCTGGAGCCTATGTATCTACAGGAGTCTGAGCTGAAGAATCTCTTCTCTATAGTAGCACAAGAAGATTGACATTGCTGGAGCATGGGACAGAGCTGTGATGGGGCAGAAAATGCAAGAGATTGACAGTTGAGAAAGGAGGTTGTGTCTCTATCTTTAACTAATAAATCATCCTATTTACAAAAGAATTAAAATTCATGAATTGCCAGTCTAAAATGGGAACATCATCTTCTCTAATTGGAGAGAGAGAGAAATATGACCTTGACAGACATGCAAATTCCATTGCCAAGGCGACAAAAGGCAAAACTTATTTTAAGTCCACAACAGACAGATAACATTTGGAAGTGACTCAGACGGACACTTTCCTAATTCACTGAACTATAAGTAGGAAGAGGAGGTAATCAGACTTGCACGATTCTGTTATTATAGCCAATCTCAATAAAGTAGTTTTAGCCTTCCTGTGGAATTCACTTCTTGGTCTGGTTCTACCTAGTGGAGTTGACACTAATGTATATTGATTAGCATAACTTCACTTTCTGGAGGTTTCCAAAACCGTTCTGTGTGTTATAAGAGCTTTGGCAAATCAGCAACATAGAATATAAATATGGAAAACTCTGCAAAAATGAAGTGGTTGTCTATTTGATAAGGCTATAACTGCATTTTTCTATACTTCATTATTTTTCCACACTGGTAGGTGAATAAAATAAAGAAATATAACATTCCCCAAGATGGAAGCAATTACACCAATCTTCCTCTAATACTTTTGCCCTTTTCGTGCCTTACCATTTCCCAGACCTATTTTATGTTCTTGTTTATCAGTTGTTTTTGTTTTGCAATAGACATAAATGAATGCTGGAATTATCCAGGCCGACTCTGCCAGCATTCATGTGAAAACACTGCTGGATCCTATCATTGCTCGTGTTCTTCTGGATTTCGCTTGGCTTACGATGGGAAGCATTGTGAAGGTATTTGTAGGCAAAGCTATCTCAAAAATGCAGTGGGGCTGGATTACACAGTGAGAAGTATCTTGTAGCACATAACGCATTTCTGGATGCAAGTCAGTGTAGTTTTGAAATCCTTATGCTTCCTTCATTATGATTTTTCTACCCTTTATTTGTCAAAATTAGCATCCCAATTTTCAAAAGTTCTTTATACAGTACAATACAAAAATGAAACCCAGCCTTAACTGCCATTGGGTCCTTTTTCATGTATTTGTATTTCACTGAAAATGAATAACTATAGCCTAATTTAAATTGCACTACTGGCTTATTGTTTTGAATAATATTACAATGTTAATAGCCTGAATAAAAAATGAGTTGTTAACTCAGATGTGGAGAAACTGTGGCCCAGGTCTGTGTGCAGACTGCTAGCATCCCTTTTGGGTCCTAGAGCCCCCTAGGTGGGTAAGGCTAACCTTAAACAGCAACTACTACTACTATTCCTTCTCCCTTCTTCTTCAGTTTGGTAGGCTTTTAAGGAGCAAAATGGGTGCCTTATACAGGTAGTCCTTGCTTAATGACCACAATTGGGGCCGACAACTCCATTGCTAAGTGAAACATCATGTGATCATGCCGGATTTATGGCATCACTCCTGCTGCAGTTGTTAAGTGAATCAACCATAGTCATTAACCGAGATAGCACATGACTGCAACTTGTGATTTTACTGCCAGCTTCTCCATTGACTGTGTTTTTTGGAAGTCAGCTGTGAAGTGCGCAAATGGCAATCACATGACCACGGGGATGCTGCAACAGTTGTGAGTGCAACTGCACAGGCAGTTGTTAAGTGAGGACTATCTGTATCTTACAAATGCTTAAAGCACCTATTTCAGCCTTAAACATTCTTGAAACCCTTCTCTGTAAGGGCCCTGGTTCCATCCCTTTCTGGAGTGTATGATGCAACTTTCTACAGAATTCAAGGCAACAAGAAGGATGCAGCCCAGGTCTAAGTTATAGTTATAATCATCTATGATTTAAAAATGCTTATTAATTTTTGAGGGCCAAACTTAATTTAGTAATTTTATCATATATTTTTTATCATATATATTTCCTGCATGAACAAACTACAGACATACCGTATCTTCAGGCTTCAAGATACTCCATGTTTTTAAAAAAGGCAATCCATTCAGTTAAGGGGCTTTTCTACTTTGCCTTCAATGACCAATATGTGGCAGCAACTGATTTTAATGTCCCTTTGATACTCATTTTTCAACACAGATGTCAATGAATGTGACAATAATCCGTGCAGTCAAGAATGTGCTAATATTTATGGTTCCTATCAGTGTTACTGCAGGCAAGGCTACCAATTGGCGGAAGACGGCCATTCTTGTAAAGGTACATCTGATGTGTTCCATTGCAGCACTAGTGTACATTTCTCTGGGAGAATAAAGTCGTTGGCCTCACATGTTTGCTAATGTACCGATTCCAGATATTGATGAATGCGCCCAAAGTGCAGGTATTCTGTGCACTTTCCGCTGTCTCAATGTGCCTGGGAGTTATCAGTGTGCTTGCCCTGATCAAGGATATACAATGGCAGCCAATGGAAGGACCTGCAGAGGTAAGAATGAGATTACAGATTCCATTCCCATCTCATTGTGAGTTGACCTGATTTTCATTCACTATACCTGTATGTGAGCAAAGTCTTCATTTTTTAAAATTTTGCAGTGCCGTAAAAGATATCAAGGTATACATAAAGTAGGAAAGTATGTGCAAACAAGCCTTGCCTACTCAAAGTACTGGGGGAAATCACTTTATAAAAACCCCATATATTAGGTGAAAAGGCATTCTAAAATATGATTTTAGGGAACCTTCTATAGCAGCACAAAAGTGCATGTATTAGAAATTGTGCACAAAAATATGTACAGAAGTTCATGCAGACATTTAAAAATATGCATAAAATTGTTCAGAAATGGAATGGAAAGAGTGTAAGACTGGGAAAATCAGAAAAAATCAAACTTTGTAGATTTTTCTTTAGAAAAATACCATTACATTAGGCAATTGTCTCATATTTCTTATTAATAAAAAGTACAATAAAAGCAACTACAGTCAGTCAGTGGCGATCCTTAAAAATAAGGAATGCAGGTAGAGTTGCAAGGTGAGATGCAATTTTTTTCACCTGTGACTTATTAGGGGGTGAATGTGATTCTACCCAGCAGGGTAGAGGGCTGTGGCAGCTCAGAAGAATTGCGGGGGGAGGAGGGCTTTGACCCTTTTCATCATTGCCCTTTGATGCTTTCCTGGAAGAATGATAGTTGGTCAAATCAAGACCAGATTAGCCAAATGTTGAAATAAAGTTTTGTTGCTTCAGTATTTATTTAATGTAGTATCAATGTATACAATGTATACAAGAGTCAGCTAGCATCAACTTCCAACACAGACCAGTTTTCATACAGTCTAAAGTCAGTCCAACATAGTGCTCCATAAAGGAGATCGCTACTATGTGTCTCTGATACTTTTTCAAATCATGCCATATCATGTGAGGAACAAATCTAGGCAATAGGCAGATTGGGCTTTTTGCCTCACCCTATAATGCTGAGGGTACCTTAGCACCCCCATGTATGGTATTTCTTTTATGGCCCTGGCAGAGTGCCCTGGTGCCTCCGCAGCTAATCTGCTCTTCCAGTACTAGCTATGATGTTGGCACCTTGCTGGTGATACTTTTGCGGACATCAGCCTTGCAATCCCTTTGTGCTTTCTCAAAAGAGGAAAGGTGAGGAACATCTTCCAGTCTCCCATTCGCCCTTTTGCTTCTGTGGTGGCAGTGGCACCATAAGAGTTTGAGACATAGATACAATTTCATGTGCACCAGCCAGTGCGATGATGGTCAGGCTTTGAATACCAAACCTTCTGAAAGGTACCATGTTGGGGAAGTTAGCATAGATGTCCAAGTGATATGATTCATATTTCACACTAGAAGCCATCCTTTCATATGCTCGCACATAGCTTCTTTGTAGCATCACCCAACCATCTTTGAAGGGATATAAAGCCTGCCCGTTACTGCTATTCCGGCCCAGAGAAATGTGTATGACTCTTGAAGACACTAATCACTAGTAAGGAAATGACTGGAAAATTGTGGAACAGCTTTTTTGTTTGAAATATTTAAGGGAACTCAATAACAATGAAAGCTTTTCAGTGCTAAAATTACTGGCTCAAAGAATTCATGTATCAGTTTTGATTGTGATGCAAATGAAAGTTGCTCTAGCTGCTAAACCTTGGGTGTTTCTTTTGTCCCATTCTTTAATTATATTTTCCATAAGTTTTTTTCCTGCTTTTGAAGACTAAATAGGAGCCAAAGCTTTTGGAGCCAAGATATAGGATAACATATGAATAGAGAATCTGCATCTCTAATGACTGTAAACCCAAAATTTCATGGTTGATTCCCAGGTTCTAGGGAGACAGTGAGTACATAAATTATGTATTATGGAATTTTAGCATATATTATATACAACATTTAAACACTGTACCCACCTGTGGCCCCTGGAAATCTTGAATCTGGGGCAGGTTTGGGAAAATACACCTTATACACCTAATATGTGTAGCAGAAAGTTTCTTCCCTGGTTGTTCTGTTATGAGATTGAAGAAATCTTTGCTCTTTTTCCTTTCCACTTCCTTCAGGGCTATTTTATGGCTTAGTGAATTCATACTAATCTGTTTGAACTATCGTATTATGTTATGGATTGTTGTTTTCAAAGCTGTGTGGTAAAGCTTCAGTTAGCGAAGACAGAGTAGTAAATCTTTTTGCAACTTCAAATACCATATGGGAACAACTTACCTGTTCACCTAGTTTCATAAGTCAATGAGGAGGGACTTAAATTACTTTATTCATTTTTTACTTCCTATTTAATTTCTTTTCTTATGCCTTTAAACAAGCCACACTCCATACAAGGGAATACTATGGTGTTGATTTAGGAGACTGTCTCCTCTGTAAAAATTGGCAGTTTTCCCTACAGTACTTTGCCCATGGATTCTCTGCTAGCATTTATTTTAGTGGCCAACCTCTGAATGCTGTCTAGACATTTGAGAATTTTCTGAATGGCTAAAGAGCTGAGCCAGGATTTCCTTCCCCTTCTCTTGCAGCCATCAGGAATTGACAAATGTCTATTTTGTTATCTTACTCTTCAAAGATTTTCTTGTAGGCTTTTCATTCTTATCTTAAGTATGCTATGTAGAAATAAATTCTTGTATCCTTCAAACATAACAACACAACTGAAATCGATAAAATGCTGGTCTTAAAACAAAAGTCTGTGATCTCCCAACCATGAAGTGAAGTATATGAGCAAAGAGGACTCTGCAGCCGTTTTATCAACATGCCTTGAAAGCAGGTGGAGATCCACAAACAGGAAAATCAAACTATACTTAGGTCCATCCCCCAAAGCAATCCTATTCAGTCACTGGAGTACTCATATAATTAAAGATCCCTGCAGATTGTCAGGGCAGAAATGGAAAGAGATTTGTGTGTATCTGCCCCTGGGCACTTCCACACAGAGCTTTGATAATACTCCTGTGGTGGCACCATGTCCTATGTGCTACATTGTCATCCTTTTTTAAGAGTTGAGCTAGCTTTCTTCTGGCTGTAGTACTGCACAGTTCAAGCTACAATTTACAACTTTTGATCTACAATGCTAGAACTCTGCAGGAATTGGTGGAGTTTTACTTTTTGCTTAAGCTGTCTTCTCCACCTGCACTTAGAGATCTCCAGAAGATTTCACAGGCAACCTTATCAGTGTATCCAGTCTTATTCTGTCTAGTAAACTTTGCATTGGTTTCATAATTCCTACTTTAAAAAACTGCTCAGTTTAATATTTTCTGTTTAGGTAAGCAACATATACTGAAGTCTTACCTTATCCCACCTATAGGTTCTGGGCTCATTGGGGTGGAGAAGAAGCCATTCCTTCTTCTCCACCCCAGTGCACAAACATAGAGGTTCTACACAGTAACCTATATCCACAAGTGCAACTTTGGTGAAGAGCTCCTGGTTGCAAAACAGTGCTATGCTATCATCACTGCTTTCAGTGGGAATTTATATAAATGAAGAACCCCCTCCTGATAGCCACACAGCTTTCCTCAGGACTCAGAGGTTCTGGAATTTAGCCAGACAAATGCATAACTGGATGTTCTGAAATGGGTTTGTATGGATGGACATAGATAGGATGAGGCAATATATTTTCTCTCTTTCTGTGTGGAGTGAGGGAAGGGGACTTTTACTGCTCCCGGAGCTATGGAAGTTTAAAGAGCTGAGCACTATTTTTTCTTTTACTATCATTCAGCTTGTTAACTGGAGGGAATGCTGATTTGTCCAATATGCTTCCTGCCCCTTCTCAGCAATCTGGGGTTGGCTGGAGTGAAGACCATCTCATAGATGACTACAAAATGCTTAGGAGGGATTGGGGACTAGTCAGGGGTGAAAGTGCCTTTTTATTATTTTTTTTCTTGGCTATTTCTTTAAGTATTTCACTTTGATTATATTCAGTGGAAAGGGATCAATTTAAACCAACTCAACATTATGGAGGGAGGGGGGAATGGCTTTTGGTTCAGTCCAAAATAGAAGTGCCCAACCCAACCCATACCTCTCCTTAGACTTTCCAAGATAAGAATTTCTATATTTACCAACAGAGAGAAGAAATTCTATTTCAAATTTCCCACTCCTGCCACAACTGTGTCCTTGGAAGGGGAAATCTAACCACTTTTATGATTCATGGTTATCTCAAAGGTCATAGGAGTACAACCTAGGTGTGTGGGAAAAGTACTGGCTTGGGGTGGTGGGATTTGTTTGTTTGTGTGTGTGTTTATTTATTTGGCTTCTTAACTGCAGATTGCAAAGTATTGCTAAATACTGATGTTAAGGCAACTCAGAAAAGATGCCTACACTCTTGCTGCAAGCAGTTTATGAAATGAGTCCATAACCTACAAACTGATTTGCTAATTTAACCTAAACCTTTAATATGTTGAGGTGAATGCATGCATTCTTTGCTTTTATTCGTAGAAATGGGTCATTGTTCTTGGTTTTCCCATATGTAACCCAGTGCAGTTGGTATGATTTACGCACTTTTGGAAGAAGGCTGCTACTAAATTGTTGCCATTGTTTTGTTTATTTTTTGGGTATGCTTCATCCTCAGATATCGATGAATGTGCAATGGGATCCCACAATTGTTCATCAGCAGAATCTTGCTATAATATTCAAGGCAGCTTCCGATGCCTTTTAATTGAGTGTCCACCAAACTACAGAAAAGTGTCTGACATGTAAGTCTAATGATTGCCCCTCAAACTCCTCTAACGTAGCAGCTGATTACATTAAGTAATACTCAGAGCTCTTAATAATTACTCTGCTGAACATAGGGTGTTTGTTCCACTTCTATTCTTTGCACTCTTTTCAAAAGTCCAATCTGCTAATACCAACACTTATTTACTTTTTAAAGACAAATCTGGTACAAATGGCTCCAGGCAAACATTTGGGGAACCATGTACCATTTAGGAGTGATTCTACAATCTGAAATGGATAGCGCTAGCTCTTATGGAAAAGAGTTCATGGTAGACTTTCCCAAACTCAAGCATACATTCACTGACACACACATACACGCACATTCTGTGCACACCATCCTTACTTACACTTACTCTATTTTCTCTTGTGAATTACTCCCCACACACTTGCCCATATTCTCACCTCTCCAAACTAAACCCCAGCAATAAAAATGTGACAAATACCACCATGAAGTTTTCTAGAAGCCTATTTGCAGTCAGTGTATTACATTGTTTTTTATACCATATAGTGGTTAAGAAACTGGAACTGGATGTGTTTAGTTATTCTGAGGAATAGGCCACAGCCCTTATGGCCACATATTTTTGATAGTCTAATAATTTTTTGATAGTCTAATCTCAAGATAATTGGCATTTTTTTAAAATAGGTGCAATAAGATCGATGACATTAAAAGTCATGCAGGTGCTCTTAGGGACAATTTCGAAGCTAATTTTATCCCTAGATGACTAGGAATGAATGAGGATCCAGGCATGTTCCCATTAAATGACAATTTTAGAAACAAATGGCATGCCACGCACAATAAATGATCTATGGACTTTATGTTACTCCTAAAGGAGGCCTCAGTTAATGAGAGAAAATAGCATCCTACAGAAAATGAGAAGCTGGAGGGGGACATTAGGGAGACACTGGGTGATCAATTTTTTAATCAGAAAGTTACCAAATAAAATAGGGGAATATATTTGAAATATGATGACCTAAAGAGATAGAAAGAGGATAAAGGGTACAACTGGAGGAGAAGGCACGATTTAGGGCTGAAAAGCAAAAAAATCAATGATGATCTTAACAGTATCAGGCACCAGTGATGGGAGTAGGCTGAGCAAGAGAGAAGGATCCAACTTCAAAAGAGCTTACATAGAAGTAGGGATTGCAAACCTATGGATTTTTATTGGAGAAAATTACTTTTTTTGGAGGCAACCATGTATTGAGAGTGTAGAAAAAGACACATAAATCCATCACACAGAATTATGCACAAGGAAGTGTTGCATAATTACACAGTGGTCTGAATTTCCAGCCATAGTTTATCTGAAATAAAGCTATAGCTTTGAAAAGAGGGCTATCATTTGTCCCTACCCCTAAAAATGATCCATTCAGAATTATGGTGGAAATATAACAGACTTTTTGACTGACTTTTTTTTAAAGGTGACAAAATTTCTCCTGCATCCACTAAGGGTGCCCGCCCTTTGGAACATCATTCCATCTGAGATTAGACTAACCCCAATCCTGTTGGCCTTTTCTAAGGCCCTGAAAACTTGGTTTTGTGCCTGGGCCAGTGGTCCTGGGTGTGGGATCAAGCCCGTCTCTTGGCTTTGCTAATAGTTGTTTTTATGATGCTATGTTGTTATGTGTTTTTATTTTTATGTTGTGTATTTTATCTATTTTATTGTAAGCTGCCTAGAGTCACATACTGTATATGAGATGGGTGGCTATATAAATTGATTTTGTTCTAATCAGGTATAATCTATAAATGCTAACTTCTTGGTGAGGTCTGAAAGCTGCTATTTGTTACATCTTAAGAAAACTTTACCTTTTTCCCGGCTGCTGAGATTAAAAAGAAATTGCACAACCCTTTACTAGATAAGCACAGATCCTGGAACATCTGTGGTATGCCAGAGCATATCCTAGCCTAGAAAAGTAGATGAATTCCATTTACAGGAGGTTAAGGGTACAAAAAGAGAATTTACTTAAATTATAAACTAAAAACAACTATTCAAAGACTATTAATGCCTTTAGCTTATGAGAGCCATATAATTAGAAACATAAGTTTTAAACAGGATATACAGTACCTGGCTTTACGAATGCACCACTGATCCCATAGAAATGAAGAAACAGTCTTAGGTTTGCAAAGGTGCGTGGTAATAAGGTAGAGAAGTTGCAAAGAAATGGTAGGCCCAAACCAAACAGATCAATAGTCATGTAAAAGCGTTATTTGCAAAAAACTGCTATCAATGCAGCACTTTAATCAATTCTGGAACAATAGGACCAATACTGATTATTTACTAGTATTTACATATAAGTTGTTCACTGTAACTTACCTGTTGTCCATTTCCAGAGATTGAGTGGCTTAGTGTATTAATATCAGAAGCTTAAAGACAAAAATCAGTTCTTACAATTATAGCCATTCAGTTTAATGTGCCACTATTTGGAGCAGTATGATGTCGCTTATTCCTAAATGCCTTTCTGAAGAGTTGTGTTTTTACAGGTTTCTGAAAATGTAGTGAGGAGGGTAGTGTTCTAAATATCTGGGGCTAAGGTGTTTCCAAGGAGGGTCCATCATGGAGAAGGCTCAAGCCAGGGATTCCTAAAGCTGATATTGTCTCAGTGGTAAGATCTGCAGCAAACCCTCTCCTCCAGATGTTACTGGTTGGGCAGTTTCAACTTGGAGAAGATGGTCATGAGGATATCCAGGCCCTGAGCTACATAGGGCTTTAAAGGTGACAACCAGCGAGTTGAATTGCATCTGGAGACTAACTGCCAGTCAGTGCAGCTCTCACAGTAGTTATGAACCCATAACTCCCCAGGATACTTCAGGTTTCATCAGCTGAAACGTAGGAATTGTCTTCTAAGGAAGCCTTATATAGAATGAATTGCGATAATCCAGTAATGCAAGGTAACTGTGAGTAAGGCCTCCTGATCCAGGAAAGGTCACAGCTGGTACACAAGATGTTCTTTTATAGTTTTATAAATTTGTATATAGTATAGGCTGGTATCTTACCCTGACCCTTTCATTGGATACAGTGTGTTCAGGCACATAATCATTCCAGAAAGTGTTGTGAAACACAAATTTTGCATAAATCAGATTGCAGTGCAATTAATGAAACACAATTTTTTTGACACACATACATAAATGCTTACATTACATGCACAACAGAGTTCCATGAAGGGACCGTCACTGTGGCTTTCATAAGGGGGAGAAGACGTTATGTTTCTGCACTAACTTTGTAGGCAGGAGTCCCTGGGATTTCATATGGCCGATCAGAGTACTGTGACTGGATGAATCACACAGTCCATTTCCAGACCAACCTGTGCAAAGCAATTCTGTCAGCATTCCTTTATGTTCATTGCAGAGTTTCCAGGAGAGGCTTTCAAGCTCATCACCTTTTAATATATGGCTGTCATCCTGACAGTTACATTGATGTAGTGAGGGTTGTAAAAGAAGAGCAAGCAGCTGCTAATTGTACAGTCAGCGATGTTCAACCCTGCTCTGTATCTGCTTAACATGTGAGACGGGTTTTCTGGAACTCTGCATACTGCCCAAGGACTAGTCTGCAGAATCTCAGCTACTAAAGTGCTAAATATTTCCTATTTCTATTCTCTCAGGAGATGTGAGCGTATCAACTGCTTCAACTATCTGGATTGCCAAAGCACTCCACTCCGTATTACTTACTATCAGCTTAATTTCCAAACGAACATTGTGGTCCCAGCTCATATTTTCCGAATTGGCCCCTCGCCTGCTTATGCCGGAGACAACATAATCCTTACAATCAACAAAGGAAATGAAGAAAACTACTTCAACACCAGGAAGCTGAATTCCTACACCGGCATCGTCTACCTTCAGAGACAAGTGAGGGAACCCAAAGACTTCTTGCTCGATGTTGAAATGAAGCTTTGGCGTCAAGGAACTTATACAACTTTTCTGGCCAAAATTTATATCTTCATCACATCTCACGCATACTGAGGTGGAGGGATTACTGTTGAAGCTCATTGGTGCTATTTTTTAAAATCTTTCCTGCCAAAGTTTGTGGTAATAGGGAAAAACTGATAGAAAATATAGCCTGTCATATTATTTTTCTAGCTCCTAAAATATCCTTGTTTTTGTAAAATTAACTTAAAATGTATTCACCTGTTTCTCTTATAACTCTGAATGTTTAGCTGAGCAAAATAAGGCTATTGAGTTTTGATGCAAATATGCACAGTAGTTATGCTGTGTTTTAAAAGTTACATTAATATTGCACCAGTGACAACCTCAGAATTAGTCACCAGGGATGGGGGCATGATTTACCCAAACTTAAACAATCCAGAAAAGATGGAACTCAAAGGGAAAAATAAATATGTAGCCACTGAAATCAATTGTACTTGAAAGGTGCTTAAGTGCAATTCATTTGAGTTCATGAGAGGGCAGAATGCCAATTCCCAGTCTTGAAAATAACTAAAAAAAAGAAGTTGCATGTCAGACAATGATCTTTTTTTCACTTACCGACAATTACCCAATGTAATTTTAAACAGACAAAAAGCTTCCTTTGCTGAAGATGCCAATAATATGTGGTGGAAACTTGCTGTGCCAATCAAATTCTGTTTTTATACTACCATCTTTGTCAAGCACATTAGTGAATCAGATGTTGATCTGTCTGCATGTTCCCCCTTGATTGACTTGCCCGACCAATTCTGAGAGCTGCTGCCTCCTCAGCTAAAAGTTGCAAATTATAGCTGTGGTAGAGAGGCACAAGCAAGTGACCAGGCATAAGTCTGACCCAACTTAACATGAATATAGCCCTCACAGTTGATTCACATGCAATAAACTCTTCATATAGTATTTGTATCATCAGGCTTTACTTTTTCCATATCTTAGAAAATGTCACTGTGAGCCGTTTCCACGGAGTTGGCTTTCCACCTCATGCAAGGTTACTGGTGCCCTAATGCAAGGGGATGTGAAGGCCACCCCCAACTCCTGAGACTTGCTACTTGCTGTGCTTCTCATGTAAATTCTTGGGACCAGCTTGCCAGGATTCATAGAAATACATCCTCCTTTCTGGTATGTTCATGCCAGCAGTACAAAATTGTTGCCACACTTTGTCGGGCAATACAATTCTTGTGTAAATCTCTCTTTGCTGCAAGAACTACATGAAGGGTGAACAAAATCTACTTCAAGTTGGAAGTTCCCAAGCAGCGTTCTCAGGCACATGGGGAGAGTCCAGGGCCCCCCTACTGTACCTCATGATTGGGACATGCTACTTGTTGTTTGCTCACTGTGGTGGCTTGTTTTCTGAACGAAGCCTCATGAAAGATACATGTGCTGGGTGTCCCTAGTGAGCCATCCTTCCAATCCAAACAAGCCCTGACATTAAGTCCTTGGGTGTCCTCGGGCAGGTTTAAAAGAATGGCTTATCTCAGCCACTGGAGTTGCATAGCACTAAGACAGTGTTGTCCAAACTTGGCCACTTTAAGATGAGTGGACTTCAACTCCCAGAATTCCCCAGCCAGCCATGTCCACTCATCTTAAAGTGGCCAAGTTTGGACAACACTGCACTAAGGCTACAAACATCCAGAGGACTACTAGAGACAAAGAGAATGAGTGTTATGTCACTTCTGCTGCCACCTAGTAATTCAGATTTTGGCACTCCTCAGGGCTCTTTCCTCCCTTGCTATCCCAGGCTGAGGAATCACGGCTGCCAAAAAGGAAACCACAGCCATCTATTTAACTGTTTTCCTATGCCTTTCAGCAGTATGGTTACTGAAGATGAAGGCCTCTGTGGGCCAGAGTGGGGCATGTTATATGCAAGCATTTCAGCCTGTGTCACTTGTCCCACAAATAGCAATCCCTTCTTCTAGACACCTTTTCAAGACAGAAAGCCCATATCCTGTCTTGCACTCAGCATATATGATGAACAGCTCTTATGTGGTCCACATTGTGATGACAGATATTCAGAGAGACAAAGAGGCTGTAACTTAAATCCCGTTTACTTGGAAATTAGTCCCATTCAGCACAAGGTGGAGTTATTTCTGAATGGCATTGAGGATACTCTGTCACTCACTATTACATTTGTTCCTCCCCTTGAAGCATTTAAGTGGAAGCATTTAATTTAAAATTTAATTAGGACTTAACACCAAGTGGCAGTTGATCCACACTGCAAGTGAAGCATTTTCAGGTCAAAAGAAAATGATGGCTGCGTTGTGCTTTCTGGCTGAAATGTACCTTGCTCTTTGGGGTATCTGCTTGGTTTCATATGTAAATTCCGTTCTGAAGGGACACTATATTTTCAAGGAATGTTAGATGCAGACAAGATGTATTATAATTTTTCAAGGAAATACCAAAGATGAGCAAGGCCAAACCAAAGATACTAAAATGTTATTGAATACCTGGTTGTATTGCATGGCTAGCCAATTAAGATCAAACTTGAAGTAAAGTGATAGGTGTGTTTTCTACTTTTCTAGCTTGAATTACCCAGCAAAAATGGAAGAGTATTTGGAAGTGTGTATAGACCAGTGTTTGTCAACTTCCGCAACTTTAAGATGTGTGGAGGTGGCTGGGGAATTCTGGGAGTTGAAGTCCATATATCTTAAAGTTGCTGAGGTTGACAAACAGTGATATAGACTATATCACACACTAATAGCCCAATGCAAAATGTACATTTTTTATATTGCTCTTACTTTATATAAAAACTGAATGAGGTCCAAATCTACAGCTCATATATACTAACAGATACCTTAATCGAAAGATTTGTAGAAATTTACAAATGAACAGTAATTGTTAAAAATAAATATTTGGGTTTTTTTAGATAAAATAGTTTCTAGGCTTCAACTTTTATTTGAATATTCATTAACATGGCTATATACTGTTTGCAAAAAGCATAGCTACAACCCACATCATCATGTATTTATATGCATTTACATTTATACAGTACCTATTTTTGGTAAGTTTGAAATATTTTCCTAATTGTGAAGACAGTGCCTCCCTCCAGCTGAGCTTAGCCCATGGTAACTCTGGTCACATCCATGGAGTTTTCTTGGCAAGGTAGAATCACAGCCATTTCTAAAATCTTTTCTTTCTTTCTTTCTTTCTTTCTTTCTTTCTTTCTTTCTTTCTTTCTTTCTTTCTTTCTTTCTTCTCTCTCTCTCTCTCTCTCTCTC